ATGAATAAAAGGACTATCAAGTAAAATGCTATGTGTGTTATGTTTACCTCATTGCGCACCATAAAGGTCAAAAGTAAATTTATCATGCAAAAGCAACAAAATTATCGGAAACGTGATATTCTAACTCGTGCAAATGCTCCGTTTTCGATGTTGCAAATGCCATTTAATCATTTTAGTAAGTTTAGCGCTTTTTGTAATATTGCGTAGCGAATCCGATCGGCTGACATATACATTAAGCTTAAACGTTCATTTGGTGGTGGTTTGAGTATTTGGTACGCAGTGTGTACTGGGGTAACCTGAAATACCCCAGTACACCCTGCGGAATGCCGGAATGCTAGGTTTGGTTAGGAACCGATTAATTACAAACGTAACAATAATATTTTTGTATACGATTACGATGTGTTGTTAAGAGCAACTGTATCGTTGAATCAATTGAATCAAGGGGAACAGAAGTATAAACAGCGAATGCAACACTTCTTATTTAAATATTTAAATTGATAAAAAAAAAAAAAAATTTCAAAACATTTTGTCACTTCTTTTCATGTGATTCTCCGCCCACTTAGTCACTTAAGTGTTAGGCCGCCCACTTAAATAATTGGGTTGACATGTTGATGCATCCACTCAGATCACGTAAAATTGATTTTTATATGAATACTCATAGATGTAAACTGGGACATACTATATAATTGTCAGTATACTATTCCTAAATGTAAATATTTTCCATTATAGTTTCGTTTTCGTCTGAACAACTTGACAATAAATTAACCCGATTAATCCAGTCGTTATATTCCGTTTACTACCATCACTCCATTAGTTTCTCAAGTTACGAAATTGGATAGATGGATAGATGGGTGGCTGAATTTAACGTCAAGTGGCAAGTTAAATGCAAATTAAGGACGAGCTAGAACAGGATAATATCATGTGAACTGAAATACATATTCCTTGCTTTGTTCTAGACCAACACGCTGAGTCGGTTTTTATGCATGCTAATCCACAAGATAACAGTCCACAGGAAGACATTTCACCCTACTCGGACACATTATTCTGAATCCGAGCCAACCAGTCTTTGGCTTAACCTGGCCGATGTTCAAACCCACGACCTCCCGCACTCGAGGCGAGCACGTACGCTATCACGAAACCACCGAGGCGGTTGATAGTGGATAGAAATCTCTGAATTGTTCGAGTTAACAGTAAATAAATTCTCAACTAAAATTCAAAATTCTCATAATCATATCAGTGCTAAGAAGTTTGGGACATCGCAAGCATTATATATGTTACGGGAAAATTTTAAGCTTTTATTTAATATTCCATTACGGTATATTGTATCTGTTCATCGTATCAACATATATATTGCTCATCTTATGTAGACGAAACGCGCGTCTGACGTATGAAAATTATTCAAGCCTGGTATATGTATCTTTGACGATTTTTAACAACAGACAACGCTTGACCGTTTACTTTTGCAAATTACATCGTATTTATGTCAACGTGAAAAATATAGAGGTCAGTACTGGTAGTATCGAAGCCAATGGAAATCTGTGTTAGATACAACCAGTGGATAACAGAATTTCGGAACACTAATTATGTATGCAAACATAAATCCGTGGTTCCTATGTATAGATTGTGCATTGAGGCTCGGACATGAAAAATACAATATATCAGTCAAAATGAAGGTTCTGCATACACCAACCAGATTCGAGCCGGTAATTCACTGTTTGTCGTATGTCGTGTGGTGTTCATATCACATTTGTTTATTGTTTTGTATATAAATCAGGCCGTTGGTCTTTGAATTGTCCCGAACATGCATGGAATATTTGCAATTGAAAGTTTAGCAACAGGGGTGCATCCAGGCATTATTAAAAAGGGGGGGGGGGGGGGTTACAACTATATGTCCCCATTCAAATGCATTGATCGTCCAAAAAAAGAGGGGGTTCCAACCCCCGGAACCCCCAACCTGGATCCGCCACTGATCAACCAAGCATCAATCAATCAAACTCTTATATTTTCTTTTTTGGTCCATTCTTCGACACACGTGATCCATGACAACTTATCAATGAATGTGTAAATATTGACAACTATGTGTAATGTCTATTTCCAAAGGCCTTTATGTAAACTACATGTACATGCTGATTCGAATACGAAAACAAACAATTGTTCATACCCAACTATATCAGTCCTATTCAGGACCGATAACTCTGTCGATAAATATTGTCGGGTATATAATGTTGTTGAAATCAGAGCAATTGTATTATATGTCTCTGTTGAAATGTATACAATAACAAATTTTTTTACACAAGTTTAAATTTATATCGATTTATTGAATGCCTGGATTTTGCTTAAAATATTGAATTAAAAAAATAAATAATAAAATCATATTCAATGAAATCTCGTTTAATTTTTTACGAAATAATACAAAATCCATTTAAATTAAAATTTGAATCAAAATATTTCTTTAAAATAATTATAGAAACATAAATATTAGTTTGATTATATTTTTTTAAAGATTTTTTTTTATATTATTCATATTTTCTTAAAGTTTATTATGATACATACTTCTTCTGGTTTGACACGGGGAAGAGAAGATATTTATTTGTACAGTTATGAAAACTTTTGTATATCACAAAATTTAAACTCTGGTAATACATGTATACACAGGATGTTTAATGTCACCTGGTTGCTTTTGGTTTGCACGTCTACCTGACAATATATTGTTATGTAACATTACATCCAAAGTCAGAGTTCACCTGTTCGTCAAGTGATGGGATTTTGAAGGTATGGAATATTTATCTATAATAATTGTTGGGATTTTTTTCTCTCTTGGGACGTAAATATTTTTTTGTTCTAAAAGGAATGTATAAATATATTTCTAAAGAAAGATAAATTAAACAGAAAACAGGAAAAAAAAAACTTTTAAAAAAAGAAGAGAAAAAATTTTATTATAAATTTTATTGTTAACTATTTTCTGGTAACAGTATATCCTGGATATCTGTCAAAATAAAATGTTCCCGTGTCACACTTAAAATAATATTTTTTTAATCAATAAATTTTGAAATCAATCATATCGAAATATCACCAAAGAAAATAACAGAAACATCAGAGATTCTACATGAAAATTAAATTAAATCAAGGGAAGTCTTACTATACAAATCCTCGATTTGATGCAACATTTCCATATACATCATCCGCCATTTTGAAAAATCCCGAAATATTCACTTTTTTCAATCGATTTTTGACCGAAATTGCCCAGAAATTAAACTGTTTTAAATAGTATTTTTCGCCAGATATATGTTTGAATATACTTAATCGATTTGCAAAGTTTTATTTTCATTAACGGAATTTCTTTATTTTTTATACAAGTAGACATGGGTATCGGTACATTTAGCATTGAGTCAACGGAGAAATAACGAGAAAAAGTACATGTTTTTACGATTCTCCAGTGACAGAATTTAATCAAAATTTAAACTGTTAGGACCAACATTGTTTGATAGAAATATGTTTGAATATCAAGGATTGATTTGCAAAAGTTAGAAAACGGGTCAGGTTCATGAGAAAACTAAACTTTATTGAAGCACCTATGCATTTTATATGGGGCAATATAATACAAAATGGCGGCTAGTATACGTCACAAAAGTCACGTGATGTCTGACTTAGTTGGATATGATTGGCTTCTAATCCAATAGTTCTGGATTAATAACATTAACTTGATGAACGGTACTAATTTACTTGCATCATATTCATATGTGAAATCTTCTATTCGGGAAAGAAATCACGACCCAACCAAAATCGGCTCTAAAATAATTGCTTGTTTGTCTGAAATGTGGACGAAAGATAAGAGAAAACCGAAAAAAAAATAAAGAAAACAGACTTAATTAAGGAGTCCTAAGATATAAAGTATAGAAAAAATTGGACAGAAAAAACTTAGAATAAATTAAAATACAGAAATGAAGACTTCCATCCCCTTAAATCCAGACTTGCATATATACATTATATATACATATCTGGACTACAGTAACTCAATTTTTTTTTCATTTAATGTGCCCCCTCTCTTCGTCTCTAATGGCGGCTGTGTCATTTATCGTGTTCATACTTCAGATAAATTAGCCGTTCTTATTATTTATTTGGCAAATTTCTGAAGGTTGCATGTTTTGACCATGATTATTTTTATAGTAGCTTATTTCGATGCGAAACAAATCATTTTGTTACAGTCCATACATATTATAACATGTATTTATATGTCTTTGCCTTTCTGTATTTAATGTAAATGTTATAATATGTATGGACTGTAACAAAATGATTTGTTTCGCATCGAAATAAGCTACTATAAAAATAATTCGAAGTCAATGGTGATGCTACTAGTTTGACCTCTTTTCACATTTTATTTTGTTACCTACCAGGTCAAAAGTAATGTTCCCGTGTACAAAGTTATTTCCAGAATTTTAAAGTAATATACGACATATTTTGCTCGCAGGAAATTAAATTCTTCCAAATTTTTAATTCTGTCACTGAATAAAATATCAGATAAGTAATAATGATTTTTTAAAAAAAGATTTAGCTTAACAACAATACAAATGATCATGTTTGGACAATTTAGTTTTTTTTTCAAGTTGGGAATTTTATTTGACAAAAGTTTCTTTTTCGAAATTTAACATAGTGTAGAGATAAATGGCACAGACTTAAATGTGAGAACTTATCGATCCTTTACCAGCCGATCTGTAGCGACAGTTATCGACCCTAATTGTGACTTGTATAGCTGCGTATGTTCACCTCAAATTTTCGGCGAGTCTCTAGTATTTATATTTTTTTCATTTTTTTTTATATTTATATCCTGCATTTTTAATTTCATTTTTTATTCTGTTAGCATGGTTAACGGCTAGTTTATTTCTTTTCGGTTTACCAGGCCAGAATATTCATTTAAAAAATCCTGCTTCTGCGTTTTCATTTACCGGAATTGTTACGAACCCCCCGGTATTGATTTTTGTTTAGTTGTTTATTATGTCGTCCTAGATTTTGATGTGATTAATGACATTAATGAGGGTGTACGCTGCAACATTTAGAATTCTTAGAATTTACGAATGCTTTTAAAGAAGATACGACCTCTGATTATTGCTAAAGCGAAGCTACTATTAAGTTGCAACTACAGAAAGCACTTGAGGTCAAGGACAATGTGTTAGGTCAGTATAAATGATTGTTTACATAACATTTTTGTACATCTGAGTATAGATGTACACTAGCTATAGATAAAGTGTTGACGTAGTTATCTATTTTATTTGGGTTTTTTATTCCTGTATATGACTATTGCACTGCCATTATATAATGCTAGTAGTCACAGGTTAATCTCGTTAATTTTCGAAGAATCATTTTACTATGCCTTCTATGTCTGATTAAATGAAACTGCATTTACCCGAGAATATATGGATGATTTTTTTTCATTTAATACCCAATGTCTTTATAGTGACTTTGTGTATGTAGATCCGTCATTTTGGAGGTTTTCTTGTTTACTAGTATTTATAAACATGATAAATGTGGGGATAAACTTGTGTATTGAGATTCATGCTGTTTCCATGTGAAGAAATCGTGATTTTACGCTATGTTTCTTAAATTCAAAGACTTTAAAAGTAATATTTGCTGGAAATATGGCATAGATATAGGCCCTACAACCATATAACCGGCTGTCACTACATCATATACTGTATAATCATGATAATAAAAGCTGTGTTACCGAACTGTCTCAGGTTGTTCCGATTTCTAGGATTTTAATTAACATGGATTTTGGAATCATAAAGAGCAGACTTTGATCTGTTTTACCCACCAAAACCAAAAGCCTGTTATAGGGTGAAATACATGTAGATAAATGTTCAATTCACAAATTATTTCCGCCTCTGGTATTTATTCATAAATAAACATTTGTAACCTGATAGTTTGGTGGCATGTATTAAATATTTCATTGACTGCAAAGTCAATTCCTAGCGATTCTTGTTGTTGGATGTCAATTGGTCCTTTTCTGGGAATAGTTTTTTAGTTTATTTGCTCGACTTGAACGACATTCGTAGTACTTCTTGATAGATTAAAATTTTTGTGACCAATAGACAGAGAAAAAAAGAATTAAGCAGCTAATACTCTAGTTCAGGGAAAGCTTGTTCGCGACCTAGAATTCTGAGTGGGTCAAGCGTTTAATTAAAATTCATGCCAGAATATGCGAGATTTGGATGAACTGGGGGCAAAGTCATTTGGTACAAATCAATATTCGATGTTAAGGATGTCCGCCGCTTTCCCATTTACCAGTGGTCGTTGAGTGTCATCTGTTTTTTGGTTTATGTTTATGTTTAATAAAGTAAAAAAAAAATATTGTGTAGAATTTTGAGACCTAGTGTTTGAAAATCACAGGAGAAAATTGGGAAAGAAATTTGAAAGAAACTTGAAATTTACCTTACAAATAACCAAAACGAAATGTTTGATAAAGATTAAAGAAGGAACGAGGGCCTACAAGTCCCTGGAAGCTTCCAAGAACTTCAAGGAAGTTTATGTGCAGAATTATCATCTTTGGAGATTGAGAATAATTTCCTGATACATGCTGACGTAATGGCATTAATTGCAAAAACAGTATATCATTCAACAGTGACACTACATAATTTATTCTCTTTGGCTTGTGTCGGTCGGATATAGATAAACAATTTAAACCATATGAATGTCATGTAAAACGGAGCTTTTTGAAAAGTTGTTTCTTGTCATAACACAGAGCTAGTCGATATCATGAATGATATTATGCGAAGTATTCAATAACCTATAACCATGGCTTCATAAATGTTATGTTTTCAATATTGATAAATAGTCTGATCGTTTAAAATAGTATATACGTTCCTTGTTCAACCCATAATAAAAAGTTCCCATAAAAGCAAACAGCTATGTACAGTTCATTTTATGGAATTAAACTCTTAGCAAAAAAGCCACACCCACTACTAAGCTATACAATGTCTTTACTCGGACTGTTGCATTTTGAACAAACAAGTGAAAAGTTCAGCGCAATGTAGAACAAAACAGTTTCAACATTCATATATCATTATCATGATCTTGACCTGCATAGATATGCATATAATTTGCAACTGGACGATTAAACAAAATGGTTATTGATGACTGCATGAAAAACTTTAACCTTCGACAAAACCTGAATTTCACTGTTAAGGAAAAACAAAGTCCATTTAGTAATAAAATATGAAAATAACTATTTGCAAAATTTTGTCCTGGATACTGTATTTTGGTCATAAAGAAGCTTCGGTCCCAATTTCTCGAAATTCCATTATGTCTGACAAAGATTTTGATGTAAAACAAAACTTTAACCGCAGACTGAACCTAAATGCTGACGCAGCCGGCGTTAACGCTGATGACGGAATCTAGGATCGCCAAGTCTCGCTTTTGCGAAATAAATTTCGCAAGCTTGACAAAAAGAAGGATGTATGTCAAAAGATCTCCTTGCTTTCGACAAGACGACAATCATTGTTTTTTGGTTTTTTTTTGGGGGGGGGGTACTTTTTTCTAAATTAATTGTAATATAACAATATTTTTTTCACATTTATTATCATTTTTCTACCTATTAACGTGAATTTTCTGACACAAAAATAAATATACAACAGAACTGTTCATTAAAAGTATGTAAACAAATGCCAAACTATATATACATGATATATGTGTGAAAATTTACTTTCTGAAGATATAAAAAATATATAAAGTATCTTTTATTCTGTTTAAGATCTTATAAAATCTGATTGAAATTAGTTAGATATTCTGCATACTATATTGTGTATGCTTCACGATAAGACAAGATAAAATGCTGAACGACCCAGATCCCACTCCTTTCAAAATTGTCAATATCTGATGCATTTGAATTAAGCACGATACCTTTATGTAAATTTAATACACGCATGCAATCAGGGCTAGTATTTTGAACATATGTTTTAACAGTAACTGTCAGAACATGATTATAATTATTAACATGATTAAGGTATATTAATTTTGTCCAACTGTCGCCTGGTGAGATACATAGTTTAAGGTAAAACTTCATGATACCATATGGCCTAGGTGTTGATTGACTTTTATTTTTATGACCTAAGATATGGTAATGAAATTGCATCTGTAACTTATTGAATATATCTGCTAAGTGAACATCACAGCATGAATCTGTCCATTTTTGTGTGAAGGTGACATGCAAAGTCAGGTGACATATCAAACCGTTTCTTTTGTAATTAAGATTAATTAACATATATAACAGTCTAAATAGTCTGTTTTAATCTGTCAGTGTAATCAATCACTTTTTATAAATAATCTGATTACAGTAATAATGATGCCGATTTGATAAATCAACAAACTGATAGTGCCCCCAGTTCATCAAATCTCGTATCTAATCAGTCGATAACGCAAAATCACGATCGATCTTGCACATGCGCATTGTTTCCCTGAACTAGAGTATTCTTGCAAACGTTAAAACCTGTTCGCTTTTACATTAATGGTAGATGGCACCTAAGTTTTATTTTAAAAGTACTTCACATTTAAAACATTTTAATTTTTTAGTTTCTGCTTTCTCCCTTTTTCACAAATTAGTTTGAGATTCAGTATCGAAACATTCGGCTGAAAATTATATTAAATACATTATGGTAAGTATGGTTTACATTTTTAAATATATTCAAAAGAAAGCAGGAAGGGTGTATCAAAATAGCTCATCTACTGCTGTATTTTTATATTACCTTTTTCTCCATTTACAAAAAAAATCTTTTAAAAAAATTTTGCGGTTGTATATTCATATATATTGGACCAAATTGCTGCATTACACATTACATGCAATTACTTGGAAAAATGTAATGCATTACCATGCATTACAATTACAAATTTGCATTACCCCATGCCTGATATTGGTATGACGTTGGCGTCATTGTCTTTGTCCGAAGACACATTGGTTTTCGCACTCTAACTTTAGTTTAAGTGAATGGATCTCTATGAAATTTTACCATAAGGTTCAATACCACAAAAGAAAGGTTGGGATTGATTTTGGGGGTTATGGTACCAACAGTTAAGGAATTAGGGGCCAAAAAGGGGCCAAAAATGAGCATTTTTGTAACTTCCAGACATAACTTGTGTGTAAGTGTAATCTCTCTGCCATTGTACAACAAGGTTCCATATCACAAAGGGAATGCTGGGATTGATTTTGGAGGTAATTGCCTCACAATTTTAGGAATTAGGGGCCAAAAAGGGGCAAATAACAAGCATTTTTCTAGTTTCATGACAATAACTTGTGTGTAAGTGTATGGATCTTTCTGAAATTGTACTACAAGGTTCCATATCCCAAAGGAAAAGCTGGAATTGAGTTTGAGGGTAATTGCCCAAAACATTTAGGAATAAGGGGCCAAAAATAAGCATTTTATCTTGTTTCCAGACAATAACTTGTGTTCAAGTGTATGGATCTCTCTGAAATTGTACTGCAAGGTACCATACCACAAAATGGAAGGCTGGGATTGATTTTAGGGGTAATTGCCTCAAAATTTAAGAAATTAGGGGCAAAAAAGGGTAAAAAAACAAGCATTTTTCTAGTTTCAGGACAATAATTTGTGTGTACAGTTAGTGTATGGATCTTTATGAAATTGTACTACAAGGTTCCATATCACAAAGGGAAAGCTGGGTTTGAGTTTGGGGGTTATTGCTATAATCATTTAGGAATTTGGGGCCAAAAAGGGGCCTAAAAACAAAGCATTTTTCTAGTTTCCAGACAATAACTTGTGTTCAAGTGTATGGATCTCTCTGAAATTGTACTGCAAGGTACCTTACCACAAAGGGAAGGCTGGGATTGAGTTTGGGGGTGATGAATCATAAGGGGGTTCAAAAAATTGGGGGGGGATTTTTTTTTCCTTTTTTTTTCTTTAAAATTTTCCATTTTAAATTGGTTATTTCTGATTTAAATATAAAAGCAAATAATAATGATATGGTTTGAATAATTAAATTAAACATTTATAAGCTCTAAGACCACATCCATTCTGTGTCAGAAACCTATGCTGTGTCAAATATTTAATCACAATCCAAATTCAGTGCTGTATCAAGCTTGAATGTTGTGTCCATACTTGCCCAAACTGTTCAGGGTTCCACCTCTGCTGTCATATCAATCTGCACCCAGCGGAGCATTTTATTACTTCTTTTGCTGTTTATTATTTTTTACTTTCTATGTTTTGTTTTTACTATCAATGTGCCGCCCTGAAAATATCAGCGTGAAAACGTTAAATAACGAAAATATAATGCGAAGGCATATATTATAGGACTAAGCTAAATATATTCAAATATGCACATAACAGTCACACTTCATGTATATATCAACAGATGAAGTATCCAGAGAAAAAGTTAAATTATGGAAACGTTGCACGCAAGGTCCACAAAAAGTAAATTTAAAAGAAAAGTGGTGTAATAGCAGATCATAAAAACAAACTATTAAAATCAGTTGAAAAGGGCTTAAAACATCAGAACTATGCAAAGACACTAAACATGTTGGAAGTTGTCCAACCGTTTCCCTTTCTTTTGGGGTGAATTTATAACTCTAATACAATTGCTTATGAATAATAGAATAGTGGACAGATTCTACTGTGAATTCAGAAATTATTGCATATAGATATAAGAAGATGTGGTATGAGTGCCAATGAGACAACTCTCCATCCAAGTTACAATTTATAAAAGTAAACCATTATAGGTCAAGGTACGGCCTTCAACACGGAGCATTGACTCAAACCGAACAGCAAGCTATAAAGGGCCCCAAAAATTACTAGTGTAAAACCATTCAAACGGAAAAACCAACAGTCTAATCTATATAAAAATGAGAAACGAAAAACACGTATGAACTACATAAACAGACAACAACTACTGTAATCAGATTCCTGACTTACAAATGTAGGACAGGTGCAAACATTTGCAGCGGGATTAAACGTTTTAATGGTACCAAACCTTATCCCTTTTCTGAAACAATAGTATAACATCACAACATAGAAAAACACACTATAGAATATCAATTGGAAGGCTTAACTGCATTTATTATTGCGATTTTGGCAAAATAGCCAAAAATGTGAGATTAATTATTGCGATTTGTGGAAAAGCTGCATACAGATATATCTGTAAGATATCAGAATGCGAGTTCTTATTATTGCGATTCTCACCCAGTCGCATTATTCGCAATAATAAAAACCTTGAAATACGTTCTGAATTTACAGTATATCAGAGTTGATAAATTTAAATGCTCATTTGGTGTCTGGTGGAGAGTTGTCTCATTGGCAATTTGACCACATCTTCCTTTTTGTCTCGCCTGTAACGAAAGAAAGGTCGCAGAAAGCGAGACATAGGGATTGCTTTTCAGGTGACGGCTGCAGCGTCAACAATTGTTAAGTTTTCTGCTTAAGTTAGTTTAATAGGAACTACTTGTGATAGATGATTGATATTTAGTATAAAGTTGCATTTATACTATCAGTACATATCAGTTTGACAACTATATATTTCGAGGCCTAGTAAACAGTTTTTTTATATCAAGATTTAAGCATTACTCTGATGATTGATGATTGCTTAAAACCTCAGCACAAAAAGGCTATATCTCAGCAAGCATTTTTTTGAAGGTCACATAATCAGGCAAAGATACCACCTATGGCAGGTAACCAATCCACTTCATGCACAATATAAATGACTTCCATTTGTACCTGACAAATCAATGTTGAAGTAATTACCAATCATTTAATTCAGAACTTGGGATACCTGAAGCACTTAATTCTGCTATTTAAATTTCTGAATTTACAGTATATCACAAGTATTAACAAGACAGTCATTCCAAAACACATGCAACAAACATGACAAAACAAAATGTAATTCTGAAATTTGAGAAACCTGCATATACTGAACAATAAAAGTAATGCACCACATCTTATAGCAATTTCACAATTTCTTGATTTTGTTAAAAATTTGTTGAAATCAAGGATGTATTAAGCATAACCTTGAAATTAATGCAGATTTTACAGAGTGTTCATTTCATGAATTGATACTCATGACTTAAGTTTTGAGTATATTTGTATGTATATTAGGTTCAAGCTAGATGCATTGCCTTGAATCTAAACAAGCTGTGATGAATTCAACAATGAGACTGTGTGTTAGCTAATGACTAATACAACAGGATGAGAAAAAAATCTGAAAAAAATTCTGAACAAATTCTGAAAATGAGAGGAAGAAACCATGATAACACAAAAAGCTGTTCATCTTGACAAAGTATTACCTATAATTTTAGGAAAGTCTGCCATACCATAACAAACAATTTTTAATGAGAGAACATATGACCAGTCATGGGTCTCTATTCCTGGTTAGAGAAGAAGGAAGGTGGATTTTGGGGAGTTGTGGTTGTTTTTTCTGCGTTCATGATACAGATCCCATCATTTGGAACGGCTCAGAGTTTTGGTATCTACAATATGTTCTTCCTGCGATACTTTGATGACAGTCCAGCTGCCATCTCTCTGATTGGATCAATTAATGTTGGCGTATTCCTGGGATCAGGTAGAATAATTTTTCTTAGCTTATATTATCACATTGACTCATCATACATGTCATACATGTAGTTAACATGGTAACATTTATATCTTTTAAATTACAGAATATTCATACTAAAATGTGTGTTTGATCAATTCTTGAACATCGCAGCAGTAAAATTTGTGATACAAGTGAGGTCAGGCTTTTCCTATGGTGACATCAACATTTTACGAGAGAACGTCTAAGAGGCCTCAAACCACACTTATTTTTACCATTGGTTACAATGCATTTCTTTATAAAAATTAAATTGAATTAGGAATTGAATTAGGCACTGACCATCTGATTTTCTGGGGAGGGGGAGGGGGGGGCTTAAATTTTATATCAAGCCAGATTTTTTTTACCATGCAAACCAAGCAAGAATATTTTTTTTTCAGTCAATCCAAAGCAAGAAAATTTTTTTCAGCAATATTTACATCAGACATGTCATTCTTGCTGAAGATGAGGCCAGAATGTTTTTTTTGCAAATGAATTGATCAGATTTTGTTTTTGTTTGACTTATTCACTACAAACCAGTAAAAGTCTGAAATGGCCTATATCTGTACTCGACTGTACTGATTTTTACTCGACCAGTCTGAATTGGTCTGAATTTTACTCGACATTACTCGACCCCAGTCTTAACCATACTCGACTGTACTGATTTGTACTTGACCCTTATCTTTACCATTGAAAATAGTCTGAACTATTACTCGACCAGTCTGAAACAGTCTTAACCCATTCTCGACCTGTACTCTACCTATTTTTTTCAGTCTAAACCATACTCGACCAAAGGTCTGAACAATACTCGACCAGTCTGAACCATACTTGACCAAATAACCTCTACTTTTTCTAAATTTTAACTGTTAAAAGAAATTTCTTTTTAACTGACATGACAACTGCCACAATAAAATAAAGATATATTATAAAAACAGATTTTTACATTCTTACATGATTCTCAGATTTATCGAATAGAGATAGTTAAATCAAATTATCTTATATAATAATTTAATTATATTAATTTTAAAGTTTTAGAGTTTTGTTAAAAAAAGATTTTCTTTTACCTAAAAACCACACCTATACTGAGGGTAATTAAACCTTATTAAGGTGCTTCTTGTTTGGCAAGTGTTTTTTTTTTTTAATTAATTTTCCTAAATTCCCAAATAAAAACTACATAGGTTTCATGGTTACATACAAAAAATGTACAATAGTTATATAATTATCTTGTTAATGAGGTAACAACAGCCAACAAAATCACTGAAATTGTTTAACCTAATATATCTATTATTATAATTTGGGATATATTATATACAATATATATCAAAAAGGGATAAAAATTAAAAAAATTAATAAAATTGTTCTTCTGATTAGTGGTGAAGTATAAAGTAATACCTCCTGCTTGGGGCAAACTCATGAAAAAGATCACACCTGGTCAGAGAGTATTAAATTCTAAATAACATTCATTCAAAATTGCAACATCCTGTGAAACTTAAATCGCAAGGCCTTTTGAATTCACTAGATAAGTAATACACGAGTTTAAGAAAAATAGGGCTTTCTTTTTACCTGTAAAACACACATGTACTGAGGTAATTAAACCTTATTAAAGTGCTTCTTGTATGCCATGTCTTTAATTTTGACAAAAATTATTTAAATTTAATTGAAATAAATTTTTACTGTAACTTTGGAACACATTTCCTTTTTTAAAAGTTTATCACCGGATTACTATGGACAGTCAGGGGTACTACTTGTACAAGTAATTTTTATTTACTTGAAGAAGTAATTATAATATACTTATATAAGTGAATTTGTAGGATACTTATACAAGTGTATTTTATTTACTTGTATAAGTAAATTATTTTTTGGCCTAGTTATGTCCCTTAGACATTCAGATTTTTTTACTTATACAAGTAAAAAAGTCATCCTATCTTCTTTTCTTGAATTTTTAGAACTTCTTTGCTCTAACAGAATTTTGAATTGTCTGTCCTTTGCAGATGTCTTTACTATTCATTTAAGTGTAATTTCATGGACAATGAAAATCTCATTTGTCTGTTATCTTTAGAACACTGCTCATTTACAAGCCCCCAAGGAGCAATTTTTGAAGGCTTTGCGCAAATAGTTAAGATCTTTGCTCAATCAGTTTCTTTGTTGAATTAATGAGATGAAACATTGAACTCTTATTAAAAATTATGAGCTAACCTGAGAAAAATTACTAAAGGCATGATTTTACATCTCAAAACTTGAGAATTTTTGTGGGATTGTAAAAAAAATTTACTTATACAAGTAAATTTTTTAGAAAATTAAGGGGAGATTATTCAAACAATATAATTAACTTGTATAAGTACATTTTATTTACTTCTTCAAGTAAATAAAGATTACTTGTACAAGTAGTACCCCTGACTGATGGAAGTTCTGTTATCATGATTATATTAAATTCTTGGTTTAACAAAACAAAGGTGTCATTTTTATACGACCGCAAAAATTGAAAATTTTTTGGTCGTATATTGGTATGACGTTGGCGTCGTCGTCGTCGTCGTTGTCGTCGTCGTCGTCGTCGTCGTCGTCCGGCGTCGTCTGGCGTCGTCCGAAGACACATTGGTTTTCGCACTCTAACTTTAGTTTAAGTGAATGGATCTCCATGAAATTTTACCATAAGGTTCAATACCATGAAAGGAAGGTTGGGATTGATTTTGGGGGTTATGGTACCAACAGTTAAGGAATTAGGGGCCAAAAAGGGGCCAACAATAAGCATTTTTGTAACTTCCAGACAATAACTTGTGTGTAAGTGTATGGATCTCTCTGACATTGTACCACAAGGTTCCATATCACAAAGGGAAGGCTGTAATTGATTTTGGGGGTAATTGCCTCAAAATGTTAGGAATTAGGGGCCAAAAAAGGGGCAAAAAACAAGCATTTTTCTAGTTTCATGACAATAACTTGTGTGTAAGTGTTTGGATATTTCTGAAATTGTACTACAAGGTTCCATATCACAAAGGGAAAGCTGGAATTGAGTTTGGGGGTAATTGCCCGAAACGTTTAGGAATTGGGGGCCAAAAAGGGGCCAAAAATAAGCATTTTTCTAGTTTCCAGACAATAACTTGTGTTCAAGTGTATGGATCTCTCTGAAATTGTACTGCAAGGTACCATACCACAAAGGGAAGGCTGAGATTGAGTTTGGGGGTGATGAATCATAAGGGGGTTCAAAAAATTTTGGGGGGGGGGGATTTTTTTTTTTTTCTTTTTTTTTTCTTTTTTTCCTTTTTTTTTTTCTTTTAAAATTTTCCATTTTAAGTTGGTTATTTCTGATTTATATTTAAAAGCAAATAATAATGATATGGTAGGAGATACACACCAAACAGGATGTGTAAATTATTATATAATAAGTATTGTGCAATAGCAAGAAATTTTCAATTGCACAGTATTGCACAATAGCAAGAAATCTTCAATTGCACAGTATTGCGCAATAGCAAGAAATCTTCAATTGCACAGTATTGCGCAATAGCAAGAAATATCCAATAGCACAATATTGCGCAATAGCAAGAAATTGTCAATTGTACAGTATTGCGCAATAGCAAGAAATAATCAATTGCACAGTATTGTGCAAAAGAAGATACTTCGTATAAATTGCTTATTTCTTGATCAATTTCAATGGGGTTTTATTCTTGAATTCTTGGGGTTCTTTAATATGCTGAATCTAACCGTGTATTAAGTTTTAAGATTTTGGGCCCCGTTTTTAAATTGGTCCACATTGAGGTCCAAAGGGTCCAAAATTTTACTTTGTTTGATTTCATCAAAAATTGAATTATTGGGGTTCTTTGATATGCCGAATCTAACCGTGTATTTAGATTCTTAATTTTTGGTTCTGTTTTCAAATTGGTCTACATAAAGGTCCAAAGGGTCCAAAATTAAACTTAGTTTGATTTCAACAAAAATTGAATATATGGGGTTTTTTGATATGCTGAATCTAACCATGTATTTAGATTTTTGATTATGGGCCCAGTTTTCGAGTTGGTCAAAATCGGGGTCCAAAATTAAACTTTGTTTGATTTCAACAAAAATTGAATATATGGGGTTCTTTGATATGCTGAATCTAACCATGTATTTAGATTTTTTTTTTTGGGCCCAGTTTTCAAGTTGGTCCAAATCGGGGTCCAAAATTAAACTTTGTTTGATTTCAACAAAAATTGAATATATGGGGTTCTTTGATATGCTGAATCTAACCATGTATTTAGATTTTTGATTGTTGGGCCCCGTTATCAACTTTGTCCACATTGAGATCAAAAGGGTCCAAAATTAAACTTTGTTTGATTTCATCAAAAATTGAATATATGGGGTTCTTTGATATGCTGAATCTAACCATGTATTTAGATTTTTGATTATGGGCCCAGTTTTCGAGTTGGTCCAAATCGGGGTCCAAAATTAAACTTTGTTTGATTTCAACAAAAATTGCATATATGGGGTTCTTTGATATGCTGAATCTAACCATGTATTTAGATTTTTGATTATGGGCCCAGTTTTCAAGTTGGTCCAAATCGGGGTCCAAAATTAAACTTTGTTTGATTTCAACAAAAATTGAATATATGGGGTTCTTTGATATGCTGAATCTAACCATGTATTTAGATTTTTGATTGTTGGGCCCCGTTATCAACTTTGTCCACATTGAGATCAAAAGGGTCCAAAATTAAACTTTGTTTGATTTCATCAAAAATTGAATATATGGGGTTCTTTGATATGCTGAATCTAACCATGTATTTAGATTTTTGATTATGGGCCCAGTTTTCAAGTTGGTCCAAATCGGGGTCCAAAATTAAACTTTGTTTGATTTCAACAAAAATTGAATATATGGGGTTCTTTGATATGCTGAATCTAACCATGTATTTAGATTTTTGATTATGGGCCCAGTTTTCAAGTTGGTCCAAATCGGGGTCCAAAATTAAACTTTGTTTGATTTCAACAAAAATGGAATATATGGGGTTCTCTAATATGCTGAATCTAACCGTGTATTAAGTTTTTGGATTTTGGGCCCCGTTTTTAAATTGGTCCACATTGAGGTCCAAAGGGTCCAAAATTTAACTTTGTTTGATTTCATCAAAAATTGAATTATTGGGGTTCTTTGATATGCCGAATCTAACTGTGTATTTAGATTCTTAATTTTTGGTTCCGTTTTCAAATTGGTCTACATAAAGGTCCAAAGGGTCCAAAATTAAACTTAGTTTGATTTTAACAAAAATTGAATTTTTAGGGTTCTTTGATATGCTGAATCTAAACATGTATTTAGATTTTTGATTATGGGCCCAGTTTTCAAGTTGGTCCAAATCGGGGTCCAAAATTAAACTTTGTTTGATTTCAACAAAAATTGAATATATGGGGTTCTTTGATATGCTGAATCTAACCATGTATTTAGATTTTTGATTTTTGGGCCCTGTTATCATTTTTGTCCACATTGAGATCAAAAGGGTCCAAAATTAAACTTTGTTTGATTTCATCAAAAATTGAATTCTTGGGGTTCTTTGATATGCTGAATCTAACCATGTATTTAGATTTTGGATATTGGACCATAATAGGTGAATGTCCAATTTAAAATTTTTAAGTTCTTAGACCACATTCATTCTGCGTCAGAAACCTATGCTGTGTCAAATATTTAATCACAATCCAAATTCAGAGCTGTATCAAGCTTGAATGTTGTGTCCATACTTGCCCCAACTGTTCAGGGTTCGACCTCTGCGGTCGTATCAAGCTGCGCCCTGCGGAGCATTTTATTTAAAATTTATTAAGTTGCTTTATATGCTATTTTATATATATTTTAATAAAAAAAATGTTCACTGCATTATTTACTAAACTCAACTGACACCATAAATCTATAAGGCTTAAGTTAATGGTGAAAATTGTCCAGTAACCATAAAATATATCTGAAACATTCAAAAAATTTTGAATAACATTGAAAATATTAGTCACAATTCAGTTTTGAAGATTATTTGATCAGCTTGTTTTATTTTTATTTTAAAGGTGATATATATATATGTATGTATATAAGTGTTGATGAATATGGTGATGAAGTTATATTATGTTTATTGTGAAATTTTGGTTTCAATGCTATATCATGTATATTGAATACATTTTTAATTTCAAATTGTTGTTCAAATTTCTAGCCAGGGGAAATAGCTGTTGTTAAAAACAGTTCCTAAATTGATGAAATACAATAGATAGATACAAAAAATAGGTCTAGGTTGGTTAAGACTTGGTCGAGTATGGTTCAGACTAGGTCGAGTATGGTTCAGACTAGGTCGAGTATGGTTCAGACTAGGTCGAGCATGGTTCAGACTAGGTCGAGCATGGTTCAGACGCGTATAAAATGGTTAAGTACTGGTCGAGTAAGGGTCGAGTACAAGTTCAGACTGTTAAGTATGGTTCAGACTACAGTCGAGTATTATCAATTAAATTTCAGACCAATTCAGACTGGTCGAGTAAAAATCAGTACAGTCGAGTACAGATATAGGCCATTTCAGACTTTTACTGGTTTGTAGTGATTTCTATGTATATGTTACTTTAATATAGGATCACTTAAAAAATAGTAAACTTTTTGAAGAAAACAGTAGCAAGAATGCTCTGGATGAAATACCCCATATAATACTTTGGAACAAAAGGAATTAATTGTGGTCTGAAGCCAGGATGTAGAGAAATGGTGGAAAATTAGCACTGATTTGCAAAAGGTCTGTTGTCCTGTTGATAAATAACTACCATGATGATGTAATCTGGTCACTAATTACGTGTGGAGATTTCATTTGGAATTGGAATATGACTTTGTTACATCATAATCAATCATGTCTTAGTTGAATATTGATACATTTGAAAAAAAAATTCCATTTAGCATATTTTGCATTAACTATCTGTTAAAATTAAACATGAGAGCAACGTACAGTCTTATTCAAAAAAAATTTTTCACTCACATTAACATCTTTGTACAAGACATCTTTTGGGATATATTTCTGGTTGGATGAAACTGGTTCATATACATGTACATGTATATATTTGTTGATTGCAAGTTCTCAGAATGAGGCTAGTCATGTGTTTTGACATTTTCTGTGTATTTTCCTTAAATTCAAAAAAATTATGCAGATGAAGACGGAATTCGAAGATTTTACTACCGTTCAATTCTTACGTTTGACAGACTAATGCATATATTTGAAGAATGTCATGAATTTTAAATGTATTTAATACAAATAAAGATTTTGTAATAACGTTAATACCAGGGACCAAACACCTTCTTCCTTTTACTTGATATGAATATATATGAATCGTAAATTTTAAGGTCATGTGACTTCTTCTACACAAATTCAATTAAAGTATAGATAAACTGCGCTACATATGTAGTTTTGCTGTGTTGATAGAAACATAATAATAGCTTATTAATCTATATACACATGTAACTTCCTTTATTTTCCTTCCCTTCTCATATACATGTATCACTGTGCTCAGTTGGTCCGTAGTTATCATATCACGAGTTTGAGACATGAGCAGAAAGTATCAACGACGTCAGAATGTCTGAGGAGAATTATCAGGGATGTCCCAATATGTGAGGAGATGTTGTCAAACTTAATTTTGTCAAAAGGAGGACATAAATACCAGGAATAGCATTATAAACTGATTATCTGGTTACTGTGTAAAGATATCATGATATATCAGCTGCTCCACACAATGTTAAGCATTTTAACTTGTTCCCTGTGCTTCACTAACTCACCACTCATACATGATGTAGAAAACCTGGTTATCTACGAATGTACTTAGTAAACTTAAGAACATTTTGTAAAATGATTGTTTAAAAATGTATTTTTTATGTTTTTTCCTTTGTTATACCCACCATTTTTTTGTATTGTTTGTATATATGTAAATATTGTATTCCTCTTGTTACACTATGTATTGTGTCTGAGTGATCAAATAAAAAGTTGAAAGTTGTTTTCTATGCTGTGTTTCAGGTCCTATTGCCACAATTCTGATGAACCATATGAGCCACAGAAAAGTGGCACTGATTGGAGCCACACTTAGTTGTATTGGTCTGATTGGCTTACCATTTGCTCCTAACATCATATACATGTATGGATTTTATGGTGTTCTCAGTGGTAAGATTAAAAATGTCTTAAGCCGTATAATGTGGATTCATTTTTATACGCCCGTCAAATTTTTGACGGGACATATTATGGTATACAAATATCCGGCGTCCGTCTGTCTGTCTGTCCGTCCGTCTGTCTGTCCGGCGTCAACATGTCGCACCGTAACTTGAGAATGACTTATCCAAATTTCATGAAACTTAACATAGTTGTTTCTTATGATGGTCAAACGATCTGTATACTTTTTGGTGAAAATAAGATTAAAACTTTTTGAGTTACGGGACTTAGTAACTAAAACAGGTGTGTGTTTTTTTTCACATGTGGCGTCGTATCTCAAAAACAATTTATGATTATTGCTTAAAACTTTACACACTTCTTAGTTATATTAATCTTAAGATCTGTATACTTTTTGGTGATGATTCAAAATTTTATTTTAGAGATGTTGAGTATTTTGTTAAAAAAGGGGAGGGGTTTTTCACATGTCGCGCCGTATCTCAAAAACAGTTTATGATTATTGCTTAAAACTTTACACACTTCTTAGTTATATTAACCTGAAGATCTGTATACTTTTTGGTGATGATTCAAAATTTTATTTTTGAGTTATTGAGTATTTTGTAAAAAAAGGGGGAGGGGTTTTTCACATGTCGCGCCGTATCTCAAAAACGATTTATGATTATTGCTTAAAATTTTACACACTTCTTAGTTATATTAATCTAAAGATCTGTATACTTTGTGGTTTTGATTCAAAATTATATTTTTGAGATATTGATTTTTTTTTTTAAAAGGGGTTTTCATATGTCAGCTGTATCTCAAAAACGATTTATGCTTATTGCATAAAAATTCACTAATAAGACAACGGGCATATCATGCGCTCATGGCGCAGCTGTTTATTATTCATTGAAAAACCATTTACCGGGATTTTTATGTTATATGTGAGCCACACATTTATATATTAATAGAAGTACACATTATATATAGGCTTGTATGCAGACTTTGCCAAGACCACCAAATTCAATATCCATGAAAAACGATTTTTCTGCAATCGAAGAAATTGGATACCCTTGAAAATAAATGAACTTAAAGTACATTCATTTGTCTTTTATAAACTTTATTCAGTCCAGGAAAACTGTAATATTATTTTAAAATGTAATATTACACAAATCTGTAATATTACTGTTTCTTGTAATACAATGAAATTTTGATAGAAATAAGGATTATCTCCCATTAATTACTACAAATGTATTACTTTCATTACAGAAAACTATTTATTTCTGTTTTTTTTTGTCCGATAACAAATAACTGGGTTTAAAGTAAAACAACAACAATAAATTAATCAAATTGAATTTATTAGGTTGTTTATTCATGTTATTTGACATTGAAAGATAAAATATAATATAGATAAATCATAACATATACTGACAATTCAATATTAAAAAAATGTCACTGAATTTTAACTATTCCCATCATATGTTCAAAAGTTTAATTTTTTTGTATGGGTTAGTTTTGTCTACTTACTCTGGTTTTTACAAGGTTTCCCATAATAAATGCAAATGTGACAAACTTCCTTCACATTTTAAAGTAAATTTCAAGGGGACTCTACTATGAGATACAGTTTGCATCAGAGCATTAAATTGTTAATTTAAGACATATAACGTATTGTCTTTCATTTCTGGTACATGTTACTTAAGAGCGTACATTAAAACATTCTGATTTTCAGCATAATAAGTTTGTTTCTTCTTTAGAACGTGAAGAAAAAAATTGCCTTTGGGTAATGTTCATCCATAATGTTTGCATTTCATGATGTTTACATTGAAAATGTCCAAAACGCTTGTCAAACATAGGTTATTTTTGCAATTTGCTGTCAATTTTTTTTTCTTGTTCTTGTTTGATATTTTACATAGGCTTTAGCTATATAGGGAAATGTTATGGATTTTAATTGTGCTTGATGAAAAATGTCTGTGCTGGTGATTTTGCCATGTGATTAGGGACTTTCCGATTGAATTTTCCTCGGAGTTCAGTATTTTTGTGATTTTACTTTTTGCTTACACTGTGCTATACAAAAATAGTCTGAACTTGAACCATGTCTCTAAATATGATAAATCAAACATCGTTTGTTATTTTTCCATTTTTATTTTACAACTTTGGCTTATAATTTTAGGTCTAGGATTTTGCTTGGTTTATGTTCCCTCTCATGTGTTATCTGGGTTGTACTATGACACCAAACGTAGTTTAGCCACAGGACTAGCCACTAGTGGTTCAGGAGTAGGAGCAATTATTTTTCCAATAATGGTAAATTTTTTAGTTGACAAATATGGATGGAGAGGATCGTTTTATATTGTATGTGGAATCAGTATGCAGAATTTTATTTTTGCCAGTTTACTCAGACCAGTTCCAGAAAGCCTTAAGCAGAAGTATGAAAAAGCAGCTCAAGACAGAGAAATTGAAGTCGAAGGTCTTGACACGGAGCCTGAAAAAACAGAATCTGAAATACATATAAAAGATTCAGAAAAGCTTTATATGAAGACAACTTCTGTGAAATTATTATCCTATGCTAGAAAAATGAGCTTGGAGGATGAGATTAAAGAGGAAGATAAAAATTCAGAAGTCAAATCAAATATTAATAAAAATGAAGGTGTTGCGTTAGAAAATGTTCAATTACAGGAAAAATCACCTGAGACAAATATTAAGATATTAGAGGATGAGGCAAAAGAAGTACAAGATGGAACCCATACTGAAATAGTAATTCCTGGCAGTCCAACAAGATTACTTAAGGAGGAGACAAAAGGCAGCATGGAGATTGACACTTGTAAAAAATGTGATACACCCAGAAATAGCTTAAACGAAGTGGAAGAACTTGCTATGACAAAGAAAAGCACATGTTCTATATTATTCAACTATGCATTCATTATTTTCTTTGCAAACAATATCTTATGGAACATGGGTGTTGTAATAATACTTCTATTTGGACCTCAATACTTTCTGACCATTGGATTAACTGAACAGTCTTCGGCTTCCATATTTAGCATTGGTGGTTTTGGAGCATTTTTTGGAAGCATCTTAGGAGGAATTGTGGGAAATATCCCAAAATTACGTTTAGACATTGCTTACATTGTCATCACAGTTTTGACAGGCAGCTTTTGTCTTTTATTTCCGATTACCGCATTCCATAGCTTTGGTGGACTTACCATAATTTATGTTGCCTTCTCTGTGATGGCTAACATTATAATGGGGTTGTTAGTTGTGGCAGTTGCAGCAATAGTTGGACCAGATGCACTTGGTACTGGTATGGGGTATGTCATGCTTGCCAATGGGATTGGAAGTATAGCAGCACCTCCACTAATAGGTATTTATTTTGTTAATATCCTTTGCAGTAGTCCTTTCTAACAACAACATTTTGACAAAAGCCTTTTTAAGAAAGACCACAACTTTTTAAACTATGGAACAAGTTTTATTTTTCATGTTATATGATATACAGAAAAAAGTTTGTTTTTCACCGGTTTCATAAGAACTTACATTTAAGAATTGAATGTTTTTATGCCCCCGCCGTAGCGTAGGGGGGATTAAGTTTTACCATTGTCCGTCTGTACGTCTGTCCGTCCGTACGTACGTCCGTACGTCCCAAAGTTGGTTTCCATTCTCTAACTTTAGTTTGCCTCAACCAAATGTTATGAAACTTATACACAATGCTTATTACCACAAAACACAGATCAAGTTTTGGTGGTGTCACTTTAACCATGCCAGAGTTATGCCTCTTTACAAATGGAAAAATTGCTGAATTTTTCCTTTCCGTTCTGTAACTTAAGTTTGCCTCAACCAAATGTTATGAAACTTATACACAATACTTATTACCACAAAACTCAGATCAAGTACAAATATGGGTAGCATCACTTTTACCATTCTTCAGTTATGTCCCTTTAAAACTTTATATGATATGCAAGCGGGGGCATCATCTGTGTCCCATTGACACATTCCCCATTTATTTTATAATTTCATTTGGGTGTCAAAGTGCTTAATTCTAAAAATGTGCGCAAGATGTGCTACAACCATAAACTTAAGAGTAATACCAACCTTTTGGTATGTTTTTCTATGCGGTGGTTTGACATTGTCATGATTGTCACTGATAGCACGTGCAGTCATAGCAGTTGTATTTAATACGGAAATAAAATTTGATATCAGAGTGCCTCAAGATTTTTGTCTGCCAATCAAAATTACAGATTCTAATAAAACATACATGTAATGTAATTATACTATAGTCATGTATATATGTAAGTGGCAAAAAACACATACATGAAACACTAATGAAATACAAAACACTCCTGCTGACACTTGCAAAATCATAGAGAACTGCATAAACAAAATAAATCTAAAAGACAAAAAAACCTGTATAATACAGTTATCTTTCCACTATTTGACAACACAAAACAATTAAATGATAAAAAATTAAATTTTAAGATAGTTAAAGTGTGCTGATGATGTCATTACCTAATCATCAATTTATATAACCTTAATTAAACTGGTGCATTCATATTATATACTGAATGCCAAACCGAATCATATTAATTGTAAAAAAAATGATTGTAAAAACACCCAATCAAAAAATTATAATAAAATCATTGAACATAAATTGATACATAATACGTAGATGTGGTATGATTGCCAATGAAACAACTCTCCGCCAGAGACCAAATGATGTAAATGTTAGCAGTTATAGATCGCCATACGGCCTTCAACAATGAGCAAAACTAGTTACGCATAGACATACAATGTTAATCATGTCTTTAATTATGATAGGTTGGGTATTTGAACAGACAGGAAGTATAGAGATTGCTTTTTATATTGGTGGAGGATGTATCATACTGGCAGGATTACTCATCATACTGATACCTGTCCTTGACTACTTCTATTTAGAGCCCAAACCAAGTAGAAGGAAACCAGAAAAGATTGCCAAAGAATGTTTACATGTGTATTGCATGTAGATGATCAGTAAAGAAAGGTGTTGATATAACTATGATAGATATTTATATGTGGAGTACATTCTGTATTTTTATTCTGCTACCTTGTTTATTTAACCTTCAATTTTACATTGAATTGTTGAACACATATTTTTGTATTTTGAAAAAACTGATTTTTTATTCATGTTTTTATCATGTTGTCCATTGATGTCAGGCAAATCTAATTTTTTAATTTACACAATTGGGCATTTATTACAATGGTAAGCAAGTCTGATGTGTATCATTTGTTTTGTTTTTGTTTATCATATCTCAATAAATATCTACCTCTCAAAAAATCAACAACAGTCAAGGTTCATTTATTTGTACATGACTACCTCACATGAAAAAAAAACCCACCAATGATGTTCTGTTAAATAATATAAATCTAAATTCTACCTCAATTTTTTAGATTATGAGATTAAAAGAAAATTATTGTGATCATTTAAGCATCTTATTTTAACAGACAAAAATAATAATAGCGACAAAACGGACGTAATCATACCACATCCTCTTATTTTATTTTATATTATAGCAATTGCTTTTTTATCATATTTTTAAAAAGCACAATTTAAATAACTTGGATATTTATGTTTTCTTTTTTACATTATTCTGAAGGTCATTGTGGTATTTTTGTTTAGGAATACAAATCGTAGAAAGTCAGTGGGAAGCTATTTTTTTATTTTTTTTTGCATTTCGACAAATATATCTGAAGTTAAGCAAAACTTGAACCACAATAGCTTTATAAATTGGACTTTTGTTGTTACTGCCTGTAAAGCTTGAATAATGTTATTTTTTATTACTATAGCTTTGATGGATTTTATTAAATTTTTAATAAACTCTTATATTTATGTATTTATTATATACTTAATAGTTAATACAAGCAAATTGTATGTGCTATATAATCAATGACAATCAGCCATCCATGATGATATCTATATCAGTCACAGTTTCAAATAAAATTCATGTCCACCATGAATGCCCTCTATGTCCATCATTATACCATATTATAACAGATAACATACTATAGCATCTCACCAGGTAGCCGTATTAGATTGACCACTAGCCCATGCTTTATTACATCAATAAATGGTCATCATCCTATCATTTATGGCCCCTAATAAACGGCCACTTTTCTATGATGACCATACCAGATGGTGGACATTTAGGAGAGTATGTCAAGAGTTTTACTGTAGAATGTCATATAGTTTTTTCAATATCTGACCCATATCAACCTGAAACACCAACATAGACAATATAATCCGAAGAGCTCTGCTGCAGGTATTGTATTGTGTTCTTTAAGGGCTCTGCTCCAGGTATTGTATTGTGTTCTTTAAGAGCTCTGCTCCAGGTATTGTGTTGTGTTCTTTTGATACAAAGAGTTCTATATGTAAGTACTATATATTAATAGTGCACCAGGGGCCTCGGTGGCCGAGTGGTCTAAGTAGTCGAATTACTGTATCACTAGCCTGTCAACACTGAGGTTGTGAGTTCGAATCCCGCACGTGGCAGGTGCACTTGATTCCAATCTTAATTGACTAGGATTGTCAGTTTTCCTACCCAAGGTCGGTGGTTCTCTCCGGGCACTCAGGCTTCCTCCACCAATAAAAATTGACCGCCATGAAATAGCACAATAGTGTTGAAAGTGGCGTTAAACACCTATCAATCAATCAATCAATAGGGCACAAATATTTAAACTTCATCTTTTAGTGAATTTTCGATATTCTATTGCTGAAATGTATGTGTTTGTGTAAGAAAAATTACTGTGATCATATTAGGTAACTATACGTATCCAGGTTTGTTGTTTTTATTGCTGGTTTGTTAATATTTATTTATACATAATTGTAGTACCATACTCAGGAAATATATTATATGTTGTTTTATCTTAACATTGCTTGTTATATACATGATATATACTATATAAATATTTTAATATACAAAAGTACCCCTGCTTCAAACATTAGGATTTAACTTTAATGACTAAAAGAATATTTTTACATTTTTCAGATATCTTTTTATTTCATTGCATTTAAAAATTGAATTTTGTTGTTTTTTCCCAAAGAACCTGCAACAAAATGTTTCAGATATAACATTATTAATCATATTTAAATATTCATATGTTTGGTTTTTTTCTACAAATTTTAAAGAAAAACACATATTTTTACATTTTTCTTTAAACTTTTTGTATTACACAGTTGTTGTGTGTTATGAATTAAGATTTACCAAATAAATTATATTGCAATATTAGCCAAACTGTTTCTTTTCTTTCCCTGCCCAAATTGTATTGCACTGGATCTACTGGTATGTGATAAGGTATCAGATATATACTCCTATTGACGGTTGTTAACTTGTAAATCACCGTTAATTACAGTCTCCTCCTTTACGTTGTACAAATTAAAGAACGCATATTAATCCCTGTCAATCAAACAAATTAACACTTGATCAGCGGGAAGTAGTAAAACCTTTATTCGTAAGCACCAAACCTTTTAGACTTTTGTTCATATCTGCTATACTTATATATTAGCTTCCAGTTCTAAGACAATTACCCGTATGGCACTTGATTTAAAGATAAGGAGATTTGTAATGATTGCCAATGAGACAACTATCCAACAGTATGAAGAGGGACTAAAGGTCTTAACCTAAAAAGTTTACTCTACTGTCTTAAAAAAAGTATTCTGAAAAAGGTTTCGTCATGACAAAATGAAGATATTCAATTTCGTGGTTTTGCCAAAGTATACATGCAATCCTATAGAAAATTTATAATTCGTTGATTATTTAAATTCGTGGTTTACCTCTAACAACATAATCCACAAAAATCGATAACCTACGAATAAAAAATGAATTAGCAGTATTAATTTTGGAATATCGACATTGTTGGTAAAACAAGTACTGGATTATACTTACCAGCAGGAGTTGCAATTGGAAACGAAATAGTCTCTTTATGGATCACTTCATTGTTGAGTTTTATAGACAACAAACTATGTTCAGTTTGTTTCTAACGGATACTGGTTAGAGTGTGTACATATGGTATATGCAAGCCGGTATTTCTTAGTGCTCAGTAACTGCATTATTCATGAAAAACTTTCTTATTGAGAAGAAGAAAAAAAAACATTTATCAAATTCCTTTAATTTCGACAGAAGATATATCAAAAATCATTTCAAAGATATATATATATATATTTGAATAAGAACGTGCATTTCAAATACATCGGTGAACTTGTAATTTCAAAGGCACATAAACCTGCTGCATATCTTTTTCTTTTTCTTGAACAAGAAATAGATGGGCGAATCCGAACTAAGTTGCCCAACAATAGACAAAAAATCCCTTCCCCTTATTAAAGATATAAATGTCACAACCTAGGTCGTTTACGCCATACTGTTGATTTGATATGACTGAACATTTTCTTACTATTTAATAGTGATAATACCCATAGATGTAATCTTAACAACTAGGTGTTACACATAAGTTAAAGGACAAAACTCTTAAAAAGATTTTGACGTTTATGTCAGCCTTTTTCATCAAGATGTTGTAAAAGAGAAGCGAAAGATACAAAAAGGACATTCAAACTCATAAACTGACCACGCCATGTCAAATAAAGAAAAGGAACAAAATAAAAAAACAGTATACAAAACACAACATACAAAAACTAAAGACTGAGCAACACAAACCCCACAAAAAAGGGGTGATCCGGAAGGGTATGCGGATTCTGCTCCACATGTGGCAACCGTCGTGTTGTTCATGAAAGAACAAATCCGGTAATAAGTCTAATTCAGTAGGTTACATTCGGGGAAAGTAGGAATATTTCTTACTGACGTAATTAATATTTAGTCTTTCATATGAATACTTAAAGTTCAATAACAATATACAGCGCCATGGCCAAAAAAAAAAAAAAAAAAACAACCCGAAAAGGCAAAAAGGAATGGCAAGACTTTGTGCATGTTATAACATACAAAACTAGATTAAAAACAGGAACCCAACATAACCGAAAGTGAACTCAGGTGCTCCGGAAGGATAAGCTGTTCCTGATTCACATGTTGGAGCTGTTGTTTTGCTTGAAACTAACTATTACAAACGCAATATTGAAAAAAAGTATCATCTTTTTATCCAAGTGTTACCATTTAAGTTGACTGTCACGTATCGCGTACATCCTATATATGAATAACATTTGCAATATGATATAAGTCAACGAAACAGCAACTCCACGACAAAGGGACCAATTTCCATGTAGAGAGTATCATACGGGTTTCAACAATTAACAGTGAAATGGTTATAGAATAATGGATTTTAATCAAGCAAAAAGTGAAATAACGAAACTACCGAACTCAAAGGAAAATTCAAAACGGAAAATCCCTTAACAAATGGTAAAATCAAAAGCTAAAACACATCGAACGAATGAAAAACAACTGTCATATTCTTGGCTTGGTACAGACATTTCCTTATGTAGAAAATGGTGGATTAAACCTAGTTTTATAACTAGCTAAACCTCTCACTTGTATGACAGTCGAAAACAATTCCATTATATTAATAACAATGTGTGAGCAAAACAAACATACATAATAGATAAAAATGTCAAAAATTTTGGTATAGCTGTCAACATTCTGTTATAATCTTAATCACTACAAAAACAAACAACTATGTCAACAAAGAAAACAAAGAAAACAACATAGTATGTAGACACTATATAGCCAAAGCATATAAACAAAATAGAAAGATAAGAATACAAAACATGACCATAGCACAAAAACAAAATGGCGACAAATGCAAAAAAAAAACAAAAAACAAGCACACATTTAGAAACTAATAAAATATGTGTACAGCTAATGTCGAAGTCTGATTTTTTCCCCAGTCTAAAATAAATGTAAATTTGTTTAAACAGAGATTATTTGATATGAGACATCAAAACCGAATTTTATAGTATATTTGAGGGTTGTAATATGACAATAACCAAAATATGTACTAATACACACAGCTGCAAAGTATAACCTATTGAGCTTCATAACTTGAAAAAAAACGCAATAAAACTGACGGTACCAATTTGAATTTTTCGACAATTTATGTATAATCAATGATACTCGACGTCATAATATTTGAAAATCAGCCTCCTATCGAACATGTTACACAAAGCGTTCTTTCAACCAGCGTTGCTGGTATGTATGTAACCTTCATTAAAGTTACTACTAGACAAGCGATTTGTAATAGATTAAATATTACTGTGTATATCCAACTGATGATACTTAATCAATTTGCCCTTTAATATTGATTTTTAATATTAGATTGTTTTTACTGTCTTTCTTTAATTGTCTATAAACTCATCGACTGCCTTGGAAAACAATCTACGATTTATATCAGTTTTAATTATCATTAGGAAATTTTTTCCATAAAACAATAACACACTGAGATCCAAAGCAATTATTTAAATGAAAATCTAAAGAACTTAATCACAAAATCTAAAACACAATGATATCATATAATCAAACGTAGTTGCCTATAAAAAGACGATGATCAAGAGACCAACAGAATGCTCTATCCTGAGATAAATAAGTATAAATAATTTGTAATATCTATTTATTTCAAACAATATTTACAACGTAGGGAATTATGTACAAATACATTTGTTTATTACTTTCTGATTAAGATTTAAGTAGTAACCAGTAATCTACAATTTAAGCTATTGAATTAAATTTCAAAATACTACAGATTTTCTACCCCAGGAATAGATTTCCCTAGCTGTGTTTGGCAAAACATGACAGAATTTTCTGTCCTTATTGCTGTTCAACTTCGAACTTTATTTAGCCTTTTTACTTTTATAATGTTTGAGCCTCACCGATGAGTCCTTTGTAGACGAAACGCGCGCCTGGTCAACATAATTGTTATGCTTATATCAATGATGAGTTTATTGTGTATGAAGTACAAGTGTACTAGTATAAGAAATGCAGATAAACACAATTTCAAAGTATATCACTGATTAATGACAAAGAGGTAACATAATTTTGTAAGAGTTTTAGTTATGATAGATTTTTAATTGCTACATGTTAAGTGTGCAAGCAGAATCTATCCCATCGAACTAGAGATAAAGGACACTACAGATACAGTTAAGTCTGCCTCATATCTTGACTTACATCTAGAAATTGACAATGAGGGTCGGTTGAAAACAAAACTTTACGACAAAAGAAATGATTTCAGCTTCCCAATTGTGAACTTTCCATTTCTATGTAGCAACATTCCAGCAGCGCCTGCATACGGAGTATATATCTCCCAATTGATACGATATTCCGGGGCTTGTATTTCCTACCATGATTTCCTTGATAGAGGATTGCTGCTCACAAGGAAGCTATTAAATAAAGAGTCCCAAATGGTGAAGTTGAAATCATCCCTTCGTAAATTTTACGGACGCCATCACGAGTTGGTTGACCGTTATGGAATAACCGTTTCACAGATGATATCGGATATGTTCCTTATGTCGTAACTACAATACCCTTTCCTTTTCACGAATGTGACTTACCGAATAAGACTATTTACCGGATTTGTAATAACATAAGCAACACGACGGGTGCCACATGTGGAGCAAGATCTGCTTACCTTTCCGGAGCACCTGAGATCACCCCCAGTTTTTGGTGGGGTTCGTGTTGCTTAATCTTTAGTTTTCTATGTTGTGTCATCTGTACTATTATTTGTCTGTTTGTCTTTTTATTTTTGGCCATGGCGTTGTCAGTTTGTTTTTGATCTCTGAGTTTGACTGTCCCTCTGGTATCTTTCGTCATTCTTTTTTCAAATTACCAGCAAACAGTATATTTGTTGTAAATATTGGTAAAATGATACAGTCACATTGTACATTTTTATATTTTATTATCCAACATTGAAAATATAATATGTTTGATTATTAATGTAAAGTTAATCAGTTAACTTTGATAAGCAGTAACACACATCTACAGTCTGTATGACGTTCGCACATATCTCAATTGATATGGTAAGCGCGTGCATGACTTCATCAACATGGGTGTGCTCCTGACACATAAACTGTTCTAGCTGGGTTATGAAGAACGGTCGAAATCGACAAGACAGATATTTAACAATCACCAGCACAAATAACTTAGCTGATACGATGCGAATGTGCCTTAACGCAGAAGTGGCATGTTTTCGCGGTCTTGCATATTTAGATACCAGAAAAAAAAAATCGTCTGATCTGTAAATTCTTAACTGAGTACCGATTCTAATCTCTAATCTATGTATTGAATTGCAATTTCAAAGTACATAACTGATAAACGACAAAGAAGTCACATAATTTTGTAAGACTTTTAGTTGAGATAGATTTTTAAATGCTACATGTTAAGTGTGCAAGTTCAAATTACCAGCAAACAGTATTGATTATTGATTATTAATGTAAAGTTTAGAAGTTAACATGGAAAAGCAGTAACACACATGTACACTCTGTATGACGTTCGCACATATCTCAATTGATATGGTAAGCGCGTGCATGACTTCATCAACATGGGTGTGCTCCTGACTCATAGACTGTTCTAGCTGGGTTATGAAGAACGGTCGAAATCGACAAGACAGATATTCGACAATCACCAGCACACATAACTTACATCTAGAAATTGACAATGAGGGTCGGTTGAAAACAAAACTTTACGACAAAAGAGATGATTTCAGCTTCCCAATTGTGAACTTTCCATTTCTATGTAGCAACATTCCAGCAGCGCCTGCATACGGAGTATATATCTCCCAATTGATACGATATTCCCGAGCCTGTGTTTCCTATCATGATTTCCTTGATAGAGGATTGATGCTCACAAGGAAGCTATTAAGCCAAGAGTTCCAAATGGTGAAGTTGAAATCATCCCTTCGTAATTTTTACGGACGCCATCACCAGTTGGTTGACCGTTATGGAATAACCGTTTCACAGATGATATCGGATATGTTCCTTATGTTGTAACTACAATACCCTTCCCTTTTCACGAATGTGACTTACCGAATTAGACTATTACCGGATTTGTAATAACATAATCAACACGACGGGTGCCACATGTGGAGCAGGATCTGCTTGCCCTTCCGGAGCACCTGAGATCACCCCAGTTTTTGGTGGGGTTCGTGTTGCTTAGTCTTTAGTTTTCTATGTTGTGTCATCTGTACTATTATTTGTCTGTTTGTCTTTTTATTTTTGGCCATGGCGTTGTCAGTTTGTTTTTGATCTATGAGTTTGACTGCCCCTCTGGTATCTTTCGTCCCTCTTTTAGCTGATACGATGCAAATGTGACTAAACTTAAGAGTGGAATGTTTTCGCGGTCTGATCTGTAAATTCTTAATTAATCCCGATTAGAATCTCTTATCTATGTATTGAATTGCATATGCAGTAGTTTAAAATATTTTGAACATAGCATTCAATGTAAAATGAAAGTATATATTAAAAGTTTGAACACAATATTTCCAGATTTAGTTACTATGGATACTAAGTAATAACGATACACATCTAAATATGACATTCTTAAAAATGTGCAAACCTTTGAATACAGGATTTGCAAAACGATCGTCCATTAAACAACGGACAGCAACAAACCCAAAATGTCTGATGAAGACAAATTATTCATAAAAGCACTTAAAAAAGAAAGTACTGGCAGTATGATTTCTATTTCGCGGTTCTAAATAAAACGTCAGACATTTAAAAATGACAATTTCTTCATCGTGCAAAGCTGTTAAACAACTTCATAAGAATAAAACATGTCACAAAAAGGTCAATGATACTCAAGAGATATCCAAAACTTATTAGTTCAAGATAATCTGACAACGCCATGACAGGCGCTGCTGGAATATTGCTAGATACAAATGGAAAATGCACAGTATGGAAGCTAAAATCATTCGTTTTATCGTGTACAGTTTTGTTTTCAACAGACACTCATTGTCAATTTCTAGATGCAAATCACGATAAAAGGCAGACTTAACGGTATCTGTTTTATCCTTTATTTCAAGTTCGATGCACCATATGCATTCTACATTGTCACAAAACTTTCAGGTATTTAGTAGGAGTTTATCATCTATATAGCAAAATGTGAAATTAAAAGGTAATGTTAGCTTCTGTTCATGTTTATGAGATGCCCCTGTCTTATGTCTGCCTCTTATGAATAAAGGAACCCGTCGGCAGGATGAGGAGCATGGCGTTGTCAGATTATTTTCGACTTATGAGATTAAATGCCCTTTGGTATCTTTCGCCTCTCTTTCGGGACAAACAAAAAAGTGCCTCGGGTTATTAAATATGTTTTGTGAGATCTCAACCCTTCCCCGATACCTCTAGCCAATGTGGACTTTTTGTTTAAAATTATAAATACATAATTTATTAATCATTTCAAACGATTTCAAGTTTATACAGATTCCGCGATAGTAGAAAAGTGCTTTGGACGCTAGGGAAGTAAAAGTGTACATGGATACCGTATTATGACTACGAGGAGACCTGTATGGTCATATTCTTAAATATGTTTAGGGCGACTTGAGTAGCGGAGAAGCAGCACATACCAGTTTTATATCAAAGGTTTGACCAAAAAAGGGATCCGACCCATGACCCGCTCTATAAGCGAAAACACTACGGGATCACCGCCGCTGTGTATTTCATTAGAAAGTTCTCTTTCACTCATCACAGATACAATTTTCAAAAAGTAGATATATTTAACCCTTATTATAGAAAACGTGACAAAGTCATTTGACTTTCGAAGCAAGGTCATCAGCTCTCAAACTCTCGAACTACTTGCGTTTCAAATTATAAGAGTTGCATCATTAATGATTTGTTTTACATTGAATAATAAAGGGAAACAACACTTTATGAATTTCATGCGTTTTATGCGCTTTTCTGAGTTTACCTTTACTACTACTACTACTACTACTACTACTACTACTACTACTACTACTACTACCACTACTACTACTTCTACTACTATTACTAGTTTTGATAATTATAATTTTGAGATTAAATAATTTTGGATATTAATTTTCATAAAGACCATAACCATTATAACTAGAAAAAAATCTCATGTATCTGCACGTATTGCATACTCATTTAAGTATACTTTTTTAGCCTGCTAATTATAAAAAGTTATCAAACCTACGCACTGTTCTTTTCCTTTAAGGAATTTAAAACATACAGGAATTTTTTTTAATTTCTTTTTAGTGATTACTATAGTAAAGTATAATAATAATGATAATAATAATAATAATAATAATAATAATAATAATAATAATACAACAACAACAACAACAACAACAACAACAACAACAATAATGATAATAATAATGATAATAATATTTATTATTATTATTATTATGATGACAATTATAAGTCAACCGCCGTTTAGTGAAATAAAATGATATGCAATCTGTTATTCATGTATTACGCAAAGACGACACACGCTGAAATGTTCGCCTACTTAACTGTTCAAGATTGAATGTTATGTTTCAAAGATTAACGTCTTATTCCAGGTATGACTTAAATGATCCATGAAGATGTGGTCAAGGTCAATTAAACCTGTCATACGGAACTTTACACCTTACACGCATTCAATAAAACAAACAAAGTTGACATATGATAATGCTTTATATTATCTAAGAAAATATCAGGACATAAATACCAAATGTCACGTTGACCAATAAATCACTTAGTGTCAAGTTTAGATGGACAAGTGTACATGTGTAACATACAATCATTCCAAATACCACATATAGTTGATCTATGATTGCTGAAAATACACCATAGACTAACATATTCACGATAACTTCACGTTGAACAGTGGATCTCAAAATGAAGTTAAGGTCAGACGAACCTAGGCAGATGGACATATATGAATTATCATCGTTGTATACGCTAAATAAGGTAAACCTATTGGTAATAGTTAATCACATTATCTGCGTAACGGACTGTATCATATATACTTAACTTTGATCACAGACTCGTGAAATAAGGTCTGGTGATCCCTGTCTGATGGACATGTTTACCTTGCAATGAGTATATTTACCAAGCATTTACTAATAATGAATAAAGCAATAACAGGATAAACACCTATACAGATTTTAAGCAGCTATTGGACATACTGAAGTCTGGACCCGAAATCAAGGACAACGGATTATGTCAGATGGATTATTCCGACTATAAGTCAATCGTTTACAAGAAATACAATTATTCAGGCCCTGACATTTAAAGCTTATACAAATAGTTTAAGCCGTTTTCAGATTATCATCCCGTTGTATCGCATTATCAAAACAGAAATGATCATCAATAGCTAGATCTGCAATAAAATGCATTTTGAGCAAATTATCTGGCAATTCATTTAAAATAACTCTGAGCTTTCCTCAGCAAAGTTGGATATGTGTTATGTTGTGTTTTTGCGGTATAAGAGATTAAACATCAAAAGATCGAGGGATATAAACATTTCGCAATAGTACGCACAATGTCTTAACAAAGTTACAAGAAACAAGAGGAGTAGAAATGATATCATACATGTCATACGCCTGAGTTAACGCCACTTATATACACGAAAATAACTAATGTAATAATAAAATCTGTACCCAGCAAAATCCAAAAAGCAAAGAAATCAACGGCATACGATACATCACGCCATTGTAAAGCGCCTTCAGTGGGATTCATTTTAACGGATGTATTTTCACCAACGCTTTCTCCATTGATGTTAACGTGTTCTCTATCTTGTGAATCAGAACCGTTACTAATTCTAAACGAATAACGAATTCTTCTTTTAAGTTTGACAATATTTACATACATTTTCGACTTTCTGTGGCATTCTTCTCTATGATGAATTCGTAACTGTAAAGAATTAACAACAAGAACTAGAATACTGTAACCTAATTGAATAACAATGAAAATGCTGAGGTAGGATGTGCTTTCTGAATTGACGGGAAGTTGCTCACTAATCATTGTTAGAAATACTACAAAAGACAGAAAAACAGAGACCGAATAAGACATTTTCTCACCAGCATCAACAGGAACAATGAATACTAAAAAATTAAGAAATCCCAAGAATATTATAGGTAAAACAATGTTGATTATGTAGTACGTAGCTTTACGGCGTAAATTTATTGTGAAAATAACCTCGCTGCTACCTAAACTGACTTCTAACTGAACTGAAGTTGAAGTGATTGCCCATAAACTATTCTCGGTGTATTCTCTAAGTTGAATTTTTGAATTCAGGTCAAAATCAACTTCAAAATCATAATACGTCCAAGTTGTGAAACGGACTTGACAAGATTGTTTATCAAATGGAAAATGGGTGACATCGATGGAACAGCGACTTTCGAACACGTGATATGGAAGCCAAGTTACCCAACCATTGCTATCAATCCGAACATTGTAAAAGCTTCCTCCTAATTCTTCTAACTTTTTGAATCCATTCTTTAAAGCAAGGTTTGGTTTCCAGATATTGTCCTAAAAAAATAAGTATATTAGCGTATATAAACACCAATTGCAGATAGTTTTGCTGCATATAAGTGGGATTATTAACATAATTCAATTTTTTATCTTGTTCAAAAGGCGGTTCAATCAAACTCAGCAGGTTGTAGGTTTTTCTCAAGTAACCAATCGTGCGCCTCTCCTTGCCGACCTTTACTTATTTTCATATGAATCGGACTTTCTTCAGACACTTGTCGCACACGGATATGATAGAAGCTTGATCATTAAATTTCATTTACAGGTCTATTTATGATGTTCTTTCCGTTAACAATTCAAACTTTTCTGATTGAGTCCTACTACATAGCTTCCTGAACTAGAGATTAAAATAATGTCATATCAGCCAGTTCCTGCGCCTCACTTTGAGATACATATATATACCTTTGACTACAACGGTCATCCCAGTGTACCAGAGTCTATGACAAAAGAGACGATTTTAATTTTGAAATTTAAATGTTCATCCATTTGGCACCATTATATCAACTTCAACCGGGTATGGATTATCCATGTATCAACTCGTACGATATTCCAGAATTTGAACTACTTTTCAAATTTAGTAAAACGTCATCGGATTCTGAGCAAAAAATTAATGAGCCAGGCTTTTGTTTAAGGACATCTCGTCCTTTCGCTCATAATGATAATCGGAAAACCTTATAGATAAATATTTGTATTCTTTACAAATACTATTGGATGATCTTGATGTATATTTTATATGTGCTGACGTTGTGTATCATATTATTTAATTCAGAACTTTTTGTTTATTTGTTTTAGTATATGTAGCAATAGTATTATGTTTCTTTTTGTCGTGTGATTCTGAACGTGGATCGGTGTTTGTTCCCAGCGGTCCGAGTCGGCGGTTTTTATAGTGTTTTCATTTTGTATACCCTCATATTCATATGTTACTTAATGTTTTTCTCATTCAGGAAAGCGTATTATGTCATTATATAATTTTACTATACTGTAACTACTATCAACTACACTTTTTTGTCGGCGTGTTTATCAGATTTATATGTCTGTTTGTTAGAATTTTCAAGTCAAGTGTTCTATGTCTGTGATGTATATATGTTTACACAGTTTACGCAGCTGTTTATTGTCACGTTGAACAGTTACGTCTGTTTGGGATGCTCAACTTATTTTGTCGATACATTGGAACTATAAGCAACTGCCATACAAGTGGGAGGTTTAGCTAGATGTAAAAAGAGGTTTACCCCCATTTTCTTCAGAAAATGTTGTACCAAGTCAGGAATATGACACATCGTTTCCATTCGTTCCGCTGGTTGATATAGTCGAGCGTGTGTATTTGTCTGGTTATATGGACTTCCCCCTTTTTTAATTTACCTTGAAGTTTGATATCATGTCTGTGAAAATACAGTCTTTTTTCTGAAAACAAATCCTGATGCTTATTTAGCCAGAATTTACAGGAAATGAACGGCCCAGTCTATCAAGAATCGGTCTAACTTGTTTATTGTAATCTATCAAAAAAGTTCAATATGATGTAATATCTAATAAAGTTTATATTTCACCAACTTACTCTGTCGATGTGGGCCGTACATGTTTAAATTTACAGATTTGATATCATTAATATTGAAGACAGGTGTAAACTATACTTCCAAAATGGCTGACTGAAAAATAGATTATACATTTGGCGGAAAATCACATGCGACAATATTATAATTAACGAGCGTTTTTTTCGAAAATTGTCAGAAATTGTCAGAAATTTTTTAAATGGTCGGTTAATTCATGTTATTAGAGAAATGAAATGATGGGCTACTTACCTGAAGAATAGCAATGGAGTCGATATCATTGTAATCAGCGCTATCCCAAACTAGATGCTCATCTATCCAGAATATATCTAGGAAACCTGCAACAACTAATTTCTCTGCTACCTCATCAATTTCATGAATGCTAGTTAGTTGCAGTGATACTGTGACTAGTACGGCATCAGTTTGATCAAGAATCGGTCTCACTTGTTTATTGTAATCGCTTCTCACGAACAATGCGTTATACAAATCCTTGGCATCATTCGAGGTCTGACAAAAGCCATTGTTTATTGTCAAAAACAAACAAAGAATCCCTATTATATTTGCCATTCAAACTCTCTCTTTACTGTCTAAATTTACGTTAAACCAGTTCGGTAAGAAAGTACTTAGTCACAACGGATCTGATACATTTGTGATTCGTTAACATACATGGAATGACACAAGGTGAGTCCACTGTTTATTTAAATGTTAATAGATATACATATTCATGTTAAACAAAAATCAATACCGTTAGGGTAACCATACATGATCTTCCAACTTGTGCTTTTCGCGGAAAAATTGCACGTTACAAAACTAATATCACCACGCCGATACAACTCCCATGACGCGTTTTACCGAATGATTCCAGGTTAACCTGGGTAAATCATTCATTAAGCACGGAGAGTAATTCATACTAACGATTTTTTATCAGGTAGTGTTTCTTTCAATGCGTTTGTTTATGTAGTCAATGAAGAGTTAAACAATATTTTTATCCCTAGTTAAATACTGTTGTTCATTGTCCCTTAATAATAACATAAACGATACTATTCCTACTGCACTAGATGCGCATTTCAACAATAAAAATGAAAACAACATCTTTATAAATTTAATACTTCCGTAACGCTTTTAAGGATGTACCTTCATCAGGAACGCTCAAAAGCCGAATATTTGAAAACCAAGGATGTATAAGAACCGAAACGGCTAAAGAGTTATATGACCGAAAAGGAACTGTCTCTTATTTTTGGTTATATTACTTTTTTTAGTGATGCTTGAGGTCAAAACATCCGGAAATCCAAAACTTATAGCTAATAGTTAGATTAAGAACACTCCATGTGGTGTAGATTATTGTTTATTATTGTAGACTTTATTATGACCTCTTTATATATATATATAATGTGAGCTGTTGAATTGATGCATGTAGAATTATCCATTATTTCATTTTAATCGGTAATTAGTCAAGCGTTGTTTTGTCAAAGAAAAATTTTAAATACAATTTAGGCTTGGATGGTCATGCATTTTTTTAATGGTTGGTTATGTTGGTTTTCTGTGATTTGTCTTTTCTCTATAATGAACCGACCATAGAATTTACATTTATATTTTCAAATTGGGATCTTTTTGATTGGTGCGATTTGCTGTTTTTTTGTTATTATAAACCTTTTTAATTGATGTGCTTGTTTGAGTAACAAACGCAAGATTAAACACACCAATATACAGTGGATTTTTGGTGAGTGTCCAGCTAGTTAAGAGGAATAGACAATTTCTCCTAGAACATTTTACAAATACAGACTATGAAAGAAGAAAAAAGGACAAATGGAAAAGCAGCTTCTCAATTCTCCAAGCGATAATTTATTTAAATATCTTTCATATAGAAGAAATTTAAGGTATCGATGTAGATTTTTTGGTTATTAATATTCATCCCTTTTATTCTATATGTGGTAAATTCAAGGTTTGTTCAAGTTGATAATTCTAAAGGAACGTGATTTGTGCCTTATCTTCAACGTGTTCGTCGGGTGTGTTCGTTATTGAGCCTCACTACACGAAACCACAATATATATTTTTTTTGTTTCTTTCAGTCGATATTTTAGGATTTTAAAGAGGAAACTTAGATGCTTTTATCATTTGTTGAACTTGATATGCAAATGAATTAGTCATTATCTCTGTATGCCATACATGCAGTTTATAGAACTTATTCGAAAAAAATCATTCCTACTCAATTCTTTACTTTTTGTTTGTCATTTTATATTAAGGAAACACACTATTTGCTTTTGAACGAACGAAGGATTTGGGGGAAAAGTGAGAAATATCGAAATATGTTTGATAATTTAACATTCTATTCTTTGGGTTCCCAACCAATTTTGTCAATATACCGGAACTATAAACAGCTGTCATACAGGTGGGAGGTTTAACTAGCTAAAATGTTTAGTTAAAACCAGGTTTAACCTACCATTTTATTTGGAAAATGCGTGTACGAAATCAAGAAAATGACAGTTGTTTTCCACTCGTTCCGTTGGTTGATAACGTTTTATGTTGTCAGTTTTAGGGACTCCCCCTAAGTGAATTTACCTTGGACTTCGGTATCTTTGTTATATTTTTGTTTTCTAATGTTAATATTTATAAACATATAAGAAAAATGGTGGTGTTTAAGGGTTGTTAGAGATTAAAACACGAGTCAATATGCATTATTTTTGAACAAATAATGTATAACCCTGTTTAAATAAGTCTTGATAGCTACTTTAATAATTTTTCTATCAATTAGATACAGCAGTAATCTTTCTGTGTTCAGATCTCATAAATACATTACAAAGATACACATCAAAGTATAAAACTAAAACTGAGACTCAGAAAGACTCGCATGAACTCCGAAAGGAGCAAAACCGGGTAGGTCGCAGGGTACGCGCCTCTAGCAATGCATGAGTCATCCGCCATGCAGTTCCACACTCAGTCAACATGTTGCTAAGTGATACCAGAGATTAAAATCACAGACACAGAACTAATCAGAAAAAGTGAGTTGCGGCAAAGAAACATGGTATAGGGCAGCCTATTCGTGATGGTTATCGTACATATTATGAAGTTTCATTTGTTGTCGTTCATTCTCATCATGCGGTTTAATATACAACAATAATTGTGGTATGAAATATCAATGGGACAACTAATTAACAGATATAGGTCACCTTACGGTATAGTCAGCTATAAAAGGCCATGATATGACAAAATAAGAAATAATTCAAACAAACAATCAACACAACGGCCTGTTTTAAAACAAAAATTTAAACTAAACACAAATGTGAGAAACAACAATCAACCACTACCCCTAGATTACAGGTTTTTAACTGGGGACAGGTACATACAGAATATATCGAGGTTAAACATGATTGTGACCGCTCGAACCTTCCGTAACCTCAGACAATGGTTTAGATTTAAAACATAAAAAAAAAATATGTTGTAAATTGATTTACTCATCAGATCGACACGAAACACACAATAATCACGATAATAGTAACATAGATAAGACAAAAGTCACAAAATACCAATCTAAGAGTACTCACGTTTTCTGAAATCTAGTTCAAAGCAAACAACCACTTAGACATAAAAGACTAAAGTGTGGTTACCATTTAGTCTGACCTTTTTTTTCGTAACAAAAGCACACACCTGTTTACAAATTTGTATAAAGTGTAAAGATTCAGCACGAGCATAGCATATTAATTGAGATATGTATTCACCATATACACAAACGGTATGTAACTTCTGAGAAACGGGAGGTTGACGATTTGAAAGTTGTAATCATAACGTTGCCGTAGATACTTAAAGAGAAATCAGCTATATCACTGTTTATATGTCAAGATAAAGGCAAATATTAAGATACCAAGCAGTATCAGTAATCTAAAGGTCAATGGTATACATAATTTGAAAGAACTCACTTGTATGTCAGTTATTGAGTGACAAGTCTGAAAGTGAAATCAGAAATTTTCGAACGATGCGTTTTTGTCGTTTTTGACTAGTATTTATTCTGCAACATACGAGTACAAAAACAAATTGGTGAGAGGGGTGCACAATCTATGACGAAGTGGACCGATAATAGAATTCTAATTTGAATGTTTGCAGTAAACAAGATAAAAAAAAATTACCATTACAAATTGTTCGAATCCGCTAAATTACTATATCATACTGTTAGACATACGATGTTTTTATTTCCGAGTAATCAAAACTCTCAGAAATATCCATTTTGATCTCAAGCGTCCATCTCAAAGTAATGTGATACTTTCTATGTATGCACTGTTTTGTCTTCTGGAGTACAGACATTAGAATTTTATTAACTCATTTTTCTAGTCGAGGCTTTGCAAATATAATACATTATTAATCGAGGATAAAAACTACTTACCTTTTACTGCTTGATCTCAGACATGGAATTATCATATATATAGCTTTGCATGATCATGTATTGCTTCATCGTTAGATGAACATTCTTCGTAAATATAAATGCCACCGGAGGAATAAGCAAACTTAGTGTAAAACATACAAACGTTTTCATGTATGCATATTTATAGCACATTTTCGAAATTTGGTAATCTCCTTTTTGACGAGTAGAACAAACACTGCGCAGAAACAAGTCAATTTTGAAATATATTACTTTGCCGATCACATTATACTGGTTCGATACTTTTAACTGATGCATGTTAGGAGGCTTCTCACAAACTCTCTTTAAAAGCAGAACAAAATTACTATAACGTCCATTATTGATGACATAATATATAGTAAAAATCACTTGCAAATACAAAAAGATCGACATTAAACATGTATGAATTTTCACAAAAGTTGAAGCTGGTACGTTATACGAATAGAATATTCTTATTATAAGAATTGTGACGAACGCAGATGCCGAAATTCATTCACGGTATTTGATTTTAAAATTATATAACATATAATTACAACGAGAGCTAGAAAGATGAAATTTGCAGACTACACTTTTTGAATATTAAGCTATTAATTTTAGATATATGTCCTTCCAAGTAACTTGACGACAAACAAAGTATGAACTTCGTTACTCAGGTTGTCAAGATAGTTGAATTGAATTGAATGATTTTATTCTCATAAATTAGTACAAAGCTACAGAGAAAATAAAAGTTCAAATAAAATACATATTTTTTTTGCATGTGTGAAAATAAAGAACAATATAATAGTATTACAGTTCCTCTAGTTACATGTATCTATGTCAATCCTAATTGAGCAAACTGCTGAATTACTCTGCTTTGTCGTTTGCAATCATATAGCTTTGCAAAGTTGCCAATAGAACCGTAGAACAGTATGATACACTGATGTAGGAATAACATTATAGAAATTGAAGATAAATTGTATTTTGAAATGTAGTAAAAAATATTTTTTTCATTTCATAGTTCTTTGCCTACAAGAAGGCTTGTGTGCGAACTTTAAAAAAATAAAATGAGATGGTTAACTTTGCGTTTTTTTTTTAAATTAAAAAAAATAGTCTTAAGAAGTAGTGATGTGAGGTGCAT